GGGCAGCCGGTGGCCTGCTTTGTACCGGGCGTTCGGCTTGGTGAACCGGGGGAAGCTGGCATGGCCTCAGGTTCTTGCTACACTAGTGACAATCGGGTTGCTGACTGTGGGATTTGAGGTGTCCCCAGCCCCCCTCCTTGACCAGGCCTCCCCGACGCCACCCCTCCTTCAGGGTTTCTGGTACTAGGTTGGCTGCGCCTTTGTTCTTGGAGGCCTAAACTGAGCTGCCGGCGGGCGGACTGTTCTAAGCACCAGAGGGGGTCAAAGTTGCCTTCCATGGAGCAGCCCTGCTCGGGAGCGGATCTGAGCAGCTGGTTGTGTTTTGAGGCTTGGGTCCCTCGCTACAGAACAATTTCTAACTCGCTGGAAGGGCTTGATGCACCGGGCTCGAAGCTGGTGACATCAAGTCAGGCGGCAGCATAAACACCTCAGTGAGTCGGGCACAGATTAAGGCATTGTAACCGCAGATCACGGGCCTCCTCGCCCTACGGAGGGAGCAGCTACCCCGCAGGGCCTGGCATCCAGAGAGCCTCGGAGGTGCTTACGCTGCAGCAGAGCGCCGTGTCTGCAGGAGGCCTTAAGGGATCCCTCCGTCCGTCCAGCCACTGCACACTGCTAGGGTTAGAGGCAGGGGTCAGCAGAAGGCTCCGGCACTACAGATCCAGGTGTCCTGGGGACACTGGAGGAAATCCTATCCTTAAAAGGCTTTGGGGAAACCCGGCACAGGGCAGGCCAGGCCAAGGGGAGCAAAGTAACAGCGGAGTGTGTGTGTGTGTGTGTGTGGGGGGGGTGTTAGTAAGTGACCGCACCTCTGTATTCTTTGCTTACAGATCAACAAAAAACCACAGTGATTGAAAACGGGGAAATCAGGTTCAATGGAAAAGGGAAAAAGATTCGGAAGCCTCGGACCATTTATTCCAGCCTGCAGCTCCAGGCTTTAAACCATCGCTTCCAGCAGACTCAGTACCTGGCCCTTCCGGAGAGAGCTGAACTGGCAGCTTCCTTAGGACTGACACAAACACAGGTAATTCCCTGAGATGCTGACCCTGCGGCCAGTCTGGGCAGGGAGCACACCAGGAGTTTGGCCTAGTCAACCCACCTTGGAACAAGCTTAGTGACAAATGCCTCTGCTCCAGCTACGCACTTTCCCGGGAAAAACACAGTATGGAATAAATGCTTTGGTATTAAATGCTGGATTTGGTTTGCACATCCTCCCAACCCTCTCTGCAACCCCACCCAGTCCAGCCTCCCTTGATGACCAAACTCATATAATTCAGTTGAGTTCTATAGACCAACATGAAAAAGAACAAACATACAGCGGGGAAAAGCGCTCAGACTCAGGCAGAACGAGGCCTACATTTCGTAAGGATCTTTGCACAGGCCCAATGAGTAAGTATAGGATTTAAACTCATCGGCATAAAAAGAAAAATAATGAAAGGAAGTGGAGGGGATGGGAGAGGTAGGCATAGGCTCCAGTGGGGTGCAGTGAAAGCCCTATGGTGCAAACAATTCATCCTCCGATGAGTGAGGCGGGTTTTTCTAAAGATGGTTAAATCTCCTTGGGTGATGGGGTCAGAGCAGGCAAAGGTTCCTCCCAGGAGCATAGGTCTTTGGGGCAATGGCAGAAAGGAAGATCAAAGAGACATGCTCCTGAAATTATAGAGGTGCCACCCCAGTTAAATTCACTTGCTGAAGTTCTCTGGTCCTATTCATTTGAGTTTGAAAGCCATGTGGGGTAGGCATTTCAGTGTTCTCAGTAAGGTGCTTATTCAGGTAGACTAGGACCCTGAGGAGAAGTCCCCTGCATGTTTGCTCCATGAGGTGGTTGGCAGTTTCCAACTCTGGTGTGTGCTTGCTGGGGGAATGATTGTGTGATGCCTAAGACAGATGGTCCTTAAGCTCTTCTTCAGCCCACTTTGTCTTGTCATATTGTTGCTAAAATAGTTGGGGTGCAATATGAAGGGGTGCAATATGAAGGTATGCCTGGTACTCTGTGACTTGTATTCCTCTTGAAAAAGCAGATTCCTGTGGCTAAGGTGTTGGTTTTTGTTTTTTAGGTAAGAGAAGCCACACTAAAGAATTGCCTTCCTCAAATAAAGTAGATACAGAAGGTTGGCCTCACTGAGCTTCTCCCTCAAGTCTCTAACTCCCATTTAATTTGCAGAAGCTCTTGACTGCGCTAACAACCTTGTCATTTGCTAACCACAGTTTGACTGGGCAATATACAAAGTTAAGAATGAGGGAGGGAGGCGTCCTTCCTCCTGCAGGGTTATGTAGATCTATTTGTCTGGGGAAACTGGCTTCCTGCATCGGCTGGGGCTAGTGCCACAATATGCATAAATACATATGCAAGGTGTTCAGTTCTAAATGTTTTATCTGCTCATTGGGCCATTTGATCCCTGTACATGCAGACAAGTGGCCAACTTTGGAACTTGGTCATTATAAAAACATTAGATTATCAGAAGAGGTGTATTCAGTTGTAGGTAGGGCTTTGATCAGAAAAAGCCTCTACTTCAAAATCCCTCCTTAGACTTCGAACCTCATTCAGTTATCTCATTTCTCTTTACATTTTTCTTCTTTCCTTATTTGTACTATTGTTTCCAACCCAGAATTACATGGACTAGGTATCCAGACAAGATACCTAAAGATGCGGCAGGGGTGGGGG